GCCCAGGTATCCAGAAGAGATACATGCCAGAGGGGGCCCTGGGAAAGGAGCGGGTGGCGGGGCAGGTGGGGCCCCAGCCCCGCCTCCATACCCTTCACTACAGCTCCCTTTTTTTTTTTTTTTTCCCTTTTTTTGTCTTTTTTCATGACTGGCAACGGATCGCAACCCTCAGTGTCGCACCCGGACCGGACCGGGACCAGCAACGGGATCGCAACCCTCGGTGTCGCTCCCGCACCTTGCTCAGCCAGTGAGCGGCCGGTCTGTATGTGGGATCCAAACCCTCGGCGGGAGCGCCGCCGCACTCTCAATCGGCGCACTGAAGCAGTGAGCCACCGGGCCAGCCCAACAGCTCCCTTTTTACCTGTTTTCTGCATGCAGTTTTGCAGATTTCATTTCAAGGAGGAGTATCACATCTAAAAGCATTTGAAAACCACTGGTCTAAGCAGTGTTTCTCAGACTTGAACATGCACAAGAATCACACAAGAAAGCTTTGCAACTGACGAGCAGCATCAGCATTGCCCAGATGCTTGTAGAAAATGCAGAATCTCAGGCCCCACCCAAGACCTATGATTCAGAATCTGCCTTTTAACTGGGCTTCCGGATGAATCATATGGACAGCAAAGTCTAAGAAGCACTGGTCTAGAACACTCTATGGTATATTAGAAAAAGGACCTAGCTGGGAGTCGAGAGCCCAGGGCTCTAGACCCAACTGTGCTGTTTTCCGTGAATGGCTTTGGATTTTGTTTGCCCCTCTAGGCCTTAGTTTCTTTACTAATACAGTGGGAGGGAACTGGATGAGACTGGTTACAGCAAATAAGGGGCATTTCTCATTTCAGCTGATCAGCTGGTAATAGCCATCTAGACCATTATGTTAAAAAGGCTACATATGGGCTCAGTACTGAGCATGTGCCATGACTGACCAGCAATGTCTGCCACGGGTGCGACCAGGGACAGAAGTGGCCCACATGTCTTGCATTTGCCATTCTTGGACTGGGCTGTTGTCAAAGGTTATTTGTTCATTAAGTATTCTTGAGTGCCAAGTGCTACCCTAGAATCGGAGGTACAGTGGTGAACAAGACATCATCCTTACCCTCAAGGAGCCATTTAGTGTGAGGGAGACCAAACCATAAGCAGACAATTATAATATGTTGTAATAACCACTATGAAAGAGGGTATTATAACAGCTTTGCAAAGAGGATCCAATCCAGTCTCTCTGGGATCAAGGAAGACTTCTAGGAAGAAGCAACAACTAAGCTGAAACCTGAAGGATGACTTTGAATTAGCCACAAGAAGCAGGAAGGGGACTCTAGATAGAGGGAACAGCATATGCAAAGGCTCAGAGGTAGGGAAGAGCATGGCAAGTCAAGAATGGTTCCTTTTCAGTGAGCAGTAGTGCTGTGGATTGAATGTCCCCCGAAACTTAATCCCCACTCTGACGCTGTTAAGAGGATGGGAAATCCTATTATGGTAATTGAAAGGTGGGGCCTTAAAAGGTGATTAGATTATGAGGACCATGCCCAAGTAAATTGATTAATCCATTGATGGATTAATGGTGGTCATGAGAATAGTTCTGAGGGCTTTAAAAGGAGTAGTGAGTTAGCTCTCTTAATTCTGCCATTTCGCCCTGTGATACCCTGCATTGCTGTAGTCACCACCAGGAAAAGGCCCTCACCAGACGTGTTCCCTGGACTTTAGACTTCCCAGCCCCCAAAACTGTAAGCAATAAATCTTGTTTCTTTACAAATTACCCAGTTTCAGGTATTTCTGTTATAAGCAATAGAAATGGACTAATACAAGTAGGACACTAGATGGGAGTGGTAAGAGGTGAGTTGGAGAGGTAGTACCAGACCAGACTAGGATATTGAACCTATCCTGAGGTTAAAGGAGAATTACTGAAGGGTTTCAAATAAGGTGGGTGATTTAGTGAGTTTTGCAGGTTGAAATGATTATTTGATCACTGGTGGACAGTGGATTAGAAAGAATATGGAGAACCAGAAGAGTTGGTGCCACTCTAAGTGTGGCCTATCCAGCTGCCAGGGTCCATGAACCATTTGCTACCAGTTCTTGAGATCAGAAGTTTGCACCAGAAGATGCATCAATTGTGTCACTGAGCACACCGTTTAGTGCAGCCAATGTTTTTTATAGCAAGACTTTCCAATGATTTATACCCTGGCCCAAGCCCCAGGTGAGCTCATCTTGCTGCAGGTCAGTACTTCAAGCAGCACTGAATCAGGTGGCTGTGGCAATCCAGGTGGGAGACCCAGCTCGCCCTAGGAGGTTAGCAGGGGAGATGGAAAGAAAATGGGCAGACTTGAGAGAATTATATTAAGTGAAACGAGTCAGGCACAGAAAGAGAAATATCACATGTTCTCACTTATTTGTGGGAACTAAAAATAAATAAATAAATACACAAATAACCGGGTTGGGGGGGGGGGGGGA